CACGTTGCATTAATCTGGTGACAAGGCGCTTACATTCCAATGGGCTGCTGAGTGAAAGAAACATTTTAAACATTCTAAATACGACATTAAATTTTTTTGGTTTTTTTGTTTCCCCCCCCCCCCTTTTTTTTTTCTTTTTTGGTTAAACCAACTACAAGCTGGAGTACATGCTTACATGTTATTCACGCCCCACAATATTAGGGACGCAGCGGTAAAGGATCTAAAATCATTTTTGACACAATGTTCACCACACATCGGATAAAGCAAGTTTATAAAATATAGCGTGGAAAAGAACGAAGTAAGAACTTAATGGATGCGCTGCTTGGTCCCTTTTGTGAGTTGTTTCAGACCTATCTGGCCATAGATGCTGCTGTTTACGTCATCATGATGTTCGACTTGTCTTCAAAGGATAGTGAGCTGAAGATGTTTGACCCAGGTTATTTTAGATTCTAGCGAATTGCGTGTTGATAGCTAGAAGTGAGTCTATTTCGTGCACCATAACATCTGTCCGTAATCACCCTAATACGTCCCAAATCCTTGCAGGGTTGAGCAAGTCGACCGATTAGCTGATGTTATCCGTGCTAAGAGCTAAGAGCAGTGCACAGATGAAAACCTTTATCTTAAGAGCAGAGCATGCATGAATAAGAACCTTTGTCTTAAAAGCAGTGCACGAATGAGAATCGTTGTCTTAAGAGCAGTGCGTGCATGAGAATCTTTGTCTTAAGAGCGGTGCATGAATAAGAACCGTTGTCTTAAGAGCAGTGCACAAATGAGAACCTTTGTCTGAAGAGCAGTGCACGAATGAGAACCTTTGACTTAAGAGCAGTGCACGAATGAGAACCTTTGACTTAAGAGCAGTTCACGAATGAGAACTTTTGACTTAAGAGCAATGCACGAATCAGAATTTTTGACTTAAGAGCAGTGCATGAATGAGAACCTTTGACTTAAGAGCAGTTCACGAATGAGAACTTTTGACTTAAGAGCAGTGCACGAATCAGAATTTTTGACTTAAGAGCAGTGCATGAATGAGAACCTTTGACTTAAGAGCAGTGCACGAATGAGAACCTTTGTCTTAAGAGCAGTGCACGAATGAGAACCTTTGACTTAAGAGCAGTGCACGAATGAGAAACTTTGTCTTAAGAGCAGTGCGCGAATGAGAACCTTTGACTTAAGAGCAGTGCACGAATCAGAATTTTTGACTTAAGAGCAGTGTATGAATGAGAACCTTTGACTTAAGAGCAGTGCACGAATGAGAACCTTTGTCTTAAGAGCAGTGCACGAATGAGAACCTTTGACTTAAGAGCAGTGCACGAATGAGAACCTTTGACTTAAGAGCAGTGCACGAATGAGGACCTTTTGACTTAAGAGCAGTGCACGAATGAGAACTTTTGACTTAAGAGCAGTGCACGAATGAGAACCTTCGACTTGCCGTAAGTGATAGTGTTTTGTGTGTGTGTGTGCGGGAGTGTGTGTGCATGGAAAGAAAGTGGGTGTGTCTTATAGGAAAAGTCGAAAGGGAGGACGATCGCACCTTCGGCTCCCACCTGGAATTCCCTGTGTTCGGTAGTCGTACATCTATCGATATAATTCTATTCAAAATAACGAATAACTGGTACAAATAACAGGGCGGAGGTGGGGGGAGGTGGGGGTGCTAAATGTCAACAGCATCCAGTAATTTAAAAATAGGATAACGAACTTTGGAAAAATCTTCACGTTGCTTGGATGATTATCGGATTACTCTTTTAATTTATGTGTACCGTTTATATTAAATCAATTCTGTTATCAGGGTAAAAACCCATCTCACGATCATATATAAACCAGGACGTCCCACCAATCGAGACATGTCGACTTGGGGAATTCAATTCTTTGCTACATTTTCATAACAGATTGAACTATTGGTTGGTAAGAACCATGAACGCGTATCTGAACTTTGTGCTGATGACTGCTGTAGTCGCCGGAATAACTTTGGTCACAATGTCTGCAGGTGAGTTGAAGGACTTCAGTTCTAGAAATATGTTTGTTAAGCTGGAGAAAGTCATTATGGTAGTTAATTTTTTCGCCACAAAATAGTCAGGAAAAAAAAAATATTTATTATGCATTGCATAGTTACAGCTATAGTTGTTATACTCAGTAATTCTTTTAGGCATCCCCTGCCCCCCGAGCGCCCCCCCCCCACTCCACGAGGGAGTCAAGTGTCCCTCGAATAAAAATATTCACAACGACGAACATATATTTATTTTCAAAAAAACACTCACTTTTCATTTTTATAACATTTTAACAAGAATTAGCGACCGGTGCCATTCCCGATTACAATGTTCATTAGTGAAAACGGTCAAATATCGATACGCTCGATATATTTGATGATCGGTATATATTCAAGTCTAATCTCGTTAAAGCTTACAGTATTCGATTATAATTATCGTGTTGTTTTGAAAATTGGCCGCCCCTCAATACAAACTGAAAGTTTCCTTCTCGTTTGCATATTTATATATTTTAATAAAGTATTTTGTTGTTGTTGAAAATTGACAAGTTTAAAGCCTTAAATAACAGGCTATTAAACTATATTTACATCATTATGAAGGTCTATAATTTTAATAAAGTTCTTGAGAAGTATCAAACATTGGCAATCTTTTTTCAAATTATATTTTATCATAAAATCATAGCTTTTAAAGTAAGGTGGCGTGTTGAATATTAATGTTATGATGACATCGTGCCTTAAAAATATAGTTATGAGCATCATTTTAAAAGTACTCGATCTAAGAATGTTGAGTTAGATAAAAATGAAAACTTTAAGAAACTGATAATTTTTTTTTAACAGAAGCAGTCCTGTTTACTTTCAAACTCTTAAAATCCTACAAATTCGTCACAAAATCTTTCAATACATTGTCTTAATAGTAAAAAAAAACAACATGCAGTATATATGATGTATACACCTGAAAATCGTACATTGTACGCCAAAATCGTAAGAGTAAACAGGTGTGCAGAAGTTCAACATGTAACGGGTGCGCATAAACAGTGCAAGTTTCATCAATTTTTAGTTAAGAAATTACAAACGTTTTCGTTTTAAATGGTGTTAAATTTAAACTATTCTGTTTAAAATGAAGAATATTAGCTTGAAATGGCTAGAAAGACTTTGAGATTGTATGCTTGTAATTAGTTTTTGTAGTGTTGCGTTTGTTTTAAATGTGGTAAATTATCGCTATATTTTTTGGTTGACTTTGTACCGCGCTTCGAGCCTTTGGGGATGAAGCGTGTTTTTGAAATGAACTTTATTATTATTATTATTTAATTCAGTAAATTATACAATTGTTGTTATATGTTGCTTTTTTAAAGTTGTTGTTTACATTAAAACGCGCATTTCTTTGAAACGATCGCGCGATCCTTTGGCATAGAGGCGGTTTTCTTAATTTAAAAAAAAATCAAAACAAATCAATTTGTCATTTTCAAAACTTAGTTTGCATTTACTTTTGGACATCATAAGCTGCGATGTCTCACAGAGATTTGGCGCAGCGCCATGGTACAGAGAAATACCCTGGCAGTGCGTGACATGCTTTAATTCTTTTGAGTTTTGAAAAAGACCAGATCCTTTAGTGACTAAGACATAGTCACAACATTGTTTCATAAATATTTATATATGTATATATAATTTGAGGACGACCGGAATGAGACAGAGTCATTTCCTTTGTAAGCCTATGGTACAAATCAAATCAAAGTGTACACTTTCATTTCACTGTACTGCACTGTTGCACTTCTGTTAAAATAGGTTCAAGTGTACGCAATTTTGGAATAAAGGATTTAGCACTGAATTTATATTTTGGAAGGAGTGCCTCTAATTCAGTTGGCAACTCGCCGCTCCGAAAGAACAGATGCACCTTTAAACAAAAACAAAAACAACTAATCTTTAATGAAGTGCGGCTTCCAAACTATTTGCTTAGCTGACATAATTTATAAAATCGGCTCCTCTCTCAAAAAGTGTTCCCGACCCCTGACATAGTGCATCTCGTGCGCTTCCATTGTATTGCTGTTTCTCTATTCTTTGCCCCTACTATACATCGTATGACAGTTTTGTAGTCCAATTTTGGGATTGGTAGGTGTGGCTTGTTGTTGAAGGTCACTAAAATCACCAGGGGCGGACCACCATTGCACCTCCTCCGCCCCCTGATTCCTAAGCCCCTGCCTATAGGGAAGTCCGGCCCTGATCGTGACATCACTGGGAGACTGATGACATAATACACTGGCGTGGGAAGGGAACGGACACGGGAGTCCGGTTTCGGTCTATTAATTTCGGGCCACTATATTATAAACCAAGGGTCGGGAACCTTTTTGTCTGAGAGAGCCATGGACACCACATCTTTTGAAAAGTAATTTTGTGAGAGCCATACATTATGTTTAAAAGTAAAAATTCAAGTAAACGTGTGCATTTTGTGTAATTTCAACACTAAAAATGCAATAATTATGTCTCTGAATTCTTTTTAATAACATTGTTATGCTGTTGCTAATCAAATATTGATATGCAATTAATATGTAGATCAAAGGAGTCTAAAGAAACATTTTTTTTTAATAATCGAACATTTGTCTGCGAGCCAGATGCAGCCATCAATAGAGCCACATCTGGCTCGCGAGCCATAGGTTCCCGACCCATGGTATACGTCCATTGATTTCCTATACATGCAGATTGTATTTATTAATTAGAGTTTCTTACTTTCCCTACAGTAGGTGAAGCCAGGTTTGGCTATTTTGTGTCCTTGACCTTCATGCTTTCATGTTGTCACCTAATGACCGTCTTATGTTGATCTGATCATTTCCTGTTGTGTTGATCTGATCCTTTCCTGTTGTGTTGATCTGATCCTTTCCTGTGTGTTGATATGATCCTTTCCTGTTGTGATGATCATTTTAACAAACGGCAAAAAGACTTTTCCCATGGCCTGGATGATGTATTCTAACCTACATATTGTACCATAACTTAAAATGTGTCAGTTACAATTGTTACTGCTATGAACAGACGGCCAAGACTTGTCCGATGGAGACCTGGAAACCATCACAAGTTCACTGACCCGTGCCCAGGCCGAGGCAGTTAAGAAGAGAATCAACATTGTGACCACTACCTTGAGGAGGAAAGATAAGGGCAACAAGGTCCACGTTAGGGACATCTTCTCTCAGCAGGATGGACTACACCAGGTCTGACCTTAGATTATTCTTTACTTCACCAGGTCTGACCTTAGATTATTCTTTACTACACCAGGTCTGACCTTAGATTATTCTTTACTACACCAGGTCTGACCTTAGATTATTCGTTACTACACCAGGTTTTAGGTTTGGTTTTAGCATTGGTTAGCGAAGTATGCAAATAGAAATGGTTTACCACGTATGCAAATAGAAATGGTTTACCACGTATAGAAATGGTTTACCAAGTACGCTAATAGAAATGGTTTACCAAGTATGCAAATAGAAATGGTTTACCAAGTATGCAAATAGAAATGGTTTACCAAGTATAGAAATGGTTTACCAAGTATGCTAATAGAAATGGTTTACCAAGTATGCAAATAGAAATTCTTTACCAAGTATGCAAATAGAAATGGTTTACCAAGAATAGAAATGGTTTACCAAGTATGCCAATATAAATGGTTTACCAAGTATGCAAAATAGAAATTGTTTACCAAGAATAGAAATGGTTACCAAGTATGTAAATAGAAATGGTTTACCAAGTATGCAAAGAGAAATGATTTACCAAGAATAGAAATGGTTTACCAAGTATTCTAATAGGTATGGCTTACAAATTTACCAAGAATGCTAATAGGAATGGTTTACCATGTATGCAATATGAATTTGTTTACCATGTATGCAAATAGAAATGGTTTACCAAGTATGCTAATGGAACATGGACACCTTAACATGTCATAACCTGACCTACTTATCTGTTCCCAGGACAGACCAGTCTATGCTGAAACCTTACCACGGTCATCACAGGGCAGGCACGCCACCAAGTCTCCAGATCAGAGATCGCCAGCATTCCTTCACAAGGGAGGCTACTCTATGTCAGGACACAGCAATGAGATAACGGACATAGAAGCAGGCATGGGGAAAATTTACTGCAATATCAATTTTTATGTGGGTCAAAGGGAGATAAACACATGAATAGGGAGAGTTAAGAAATGTGTTGTACTATTTTAATCAATTTACATTAATACACCTATCAATAAAATAATGAATTATTGTTTCTGAAGTGAGGTGGGGGTGGGTGGGTGTCGGAAGGACATATGTTAATGACATAACTTGAAATGCAGTCACAATAGTATAAGCATAAAAATGTAGGGGATACAAATCAATATTATCATGACAAAATAAGTCTTAATACATTAAAAATATAAAAATCTTTTCACCCCATTTAGCATTTCTCTAACGGAATAATTTTAAAAATGTAATTAAAATACCTTTAATCGCTTAAAAATTAAAAATATGATTGTGTTTTGAAATGAATATACTTTATACATGCACAGTTTTCTAGTATTTGTTTTTTTACCTAAAAATTACAATTTTAGGGGTTTTACCTGCTTGTTGATGTAAGAAGATGTAGGGGCCTATGTATTTTTGTAATATAACCAAAGCTTGGTATTTTTTTAATAATGGATAGTAATTATTAGAATGGGCTGCCAAATAAAAACTTAACTTTGAACTGTTAGAATTCGCTGATAATTTTTTTACAGCACCTCTTTCACAGACCTGTTTACCTTTACGATTTTGGCGTAAAATGTACGATTTTGAGGTGTATACACTATATATGCTTATGTTTATTTTTTACTGATTAAGATAATGTATTGAACGATTTTGTAATGATATTGTACGATTTTAAGAGTTTGGAGGTAAACAGGTCTGCTTTCACTTTAACCAACTAATCCTCCACATGATCCCTCTCAGGTATTGCCACCCTGGGAGTGCACCCTCGCACCAAGAGCATCAACAGATCTACAGACCAGTTTGCCAACTTGTCGCCAGTCTCTGATATGGAGATCTCCTTGGACTTCAACCCAGAAGAAGTGGAAAAGGTAAGGGGAAAATATCCATGTCTCTCTTTAGCTTGTCAGCAGCCTTCACAGTTAGGAAAACTTTGATAAAACAAATTTAAAAAAATAATTATAATGCCGGTATATATTTTTTTAATGAGCAAGAATTAAATAACTGAAACAATTTTAAATAAACTTAAATTTGCAATGATAATCGATGGTGCTATATATTCATTATGTTTACAAGAGGACAGGAGGTTACTGAAACCATAACTTAAAATATGTTAATGTTAATTTTAAAAAAAAATAGTTTATAAGATAAATATCCCATTACAGTTCATTGAGTTTTATTAATGATTAATTATTCCTTTACAGTGTGATTAACAAAATTCATTTGCTATACTACATCTTTTATATCTTACTATTGCACTAGTTCTGTTATTGCACTTGTTCTGTTAATTGCATTTTTTCTGGGGGTTTTTTAACCCTGTTTTTTTTAAAAACTGCACCATATATTTTGTATTGCCACATCTAGTGCTCACAGTTAACATATTTTAATGCTGATGTTAAATTTTGTTTCTGTTTGATGCTAGTAAGTCTCCGCTCATTTTTAGTTTTAACTAGAAATCTGCATTCAGTGGTCACCTTTTCTGTCCACACCCACTTCAAACATTCAGTTGTCACCTTTTCTGTTCACACCCACGTCAAACAACCAAAACTGAGGAATGTTAAAGCCGTATTTAAAAAAACCACCATATTTGTCAATCTCACAGTTGGATAATGTTGCGGCCAGCTAATCAGAATATGTTTTCAAATTTCCATTATCTTAGTGACTGACAATTAATTCTTTCAATGACTGTTTTAGGGGGAAAAAAAATAAATATATATATATATATATTTCAGCACATTTTTCAATGTTTAGTAAAGTTTTATTTCAGTTACATTTCTGGATTAGTCTTGGGATCCCACAGTAATACAAAAAAACAAAAATAACTGCTTAATCCTAATGATGATAATTCTAAAATACAAGAATGATAATTAAAAAAAGCTATAAACTGGACATTAAATGAAAATTGACTTTAAAGCAATGCATCGGAAGGACATTGGTGTCACATAATGAATGCTAGAACTATTCAGTCAAGCCAATTAATTTGTGGTCTTTAGAAAGTTAACATGACTAATGTAGGTCTTGATTACTTTTATCATGGAAATTTTTTATCAACATTAAGAAAACATCAAGATTTTTTTATCAACATTAAGAAAACATCAAGATTTTTTTATACCAAAAATTATTTTGTTAATATGAAATTTTTTTTCATTGTTGTTAGTCTCAAATAAAAGTTTGGAACTATTTAAATGATTCCATCAAATAAAACATTAGAAAAGCAGTATCTACAGGGTTTAAAGATAATAATTGGCTGCAGTGTTCCATAGTTTTGGTCTCAGATTTCATCTTCTCACTCTTTAGAAAATTGTAGATGAAGCTAACGAGACTTCATAGCATTTTGTTTTGTCATAAATCTGTTTAGTTATAATCTCAGCATTTTGATGGCTTCATTTTTTTGTTATCTCATCATAATATATCAAATAAAAATTGTTACCGAATTTGTACATCTCATTATTAAACATCATCACATTAGACAGAGCTCAGCAACCATTGTGCCGCAGCACACCACTGTGCCATGAAACAATGCTAGATCTGTCACGCAATATTCTTCATAAAGGAATTAGAGTACAGAGCATTATTTTTATAAATGCAGGAACATGATGAAACCCATGATAATACTAAAGGAACATTGGTTAGCCCATTAACATATTGCTGTCAAGCCATAACAAAATGTGTCCAATACAGACCGCTTACATAAGAACAATTGGGTTTAGTTTGTTGCCTTTCAACATTACAGGTCATAATGAAATTCAACTACATTATGTTAGTGAATTTGTGCATCTTTTTACTTTTGGTGTGCTGCAGAAGTTTTGTAAAGATTGGCAAGAAATTGCTGAGCTTTGACTAAAGACATAACAAGTGTTAACAGTCATTTCATCTCACCAATAAACATCATCATTTAGCCATAACAAATGTTATCAGTTGATTCACTAATAAATAACAGCATGCCTTCTTCACGATTCATTCACAAATGGCCTTGCATATAATTGCATGGGGGCCCAGCATGAGTGCTTTTCTTTTGTGGGGCGAGAGGGTGCCGAGCATGATAAGTATCTGGGGGCTTTCACTTGCATGTTTACTCAGTGCAGGAGTGTATCCTGTTGTTCAGGGGAGGCACTATGGTTATAGTATTACTGTTTCATGTTCTTAAGTCAGGCATCAGAGCCAAGAAGTCATCGTGCTCAAGTTTTTTTTCGAAGTCTTCAATAAAATGTCAAATTTGTTACTACAGTAGAAATTTTTTTTTGTAAAATGTATCTATCAAATATAAATTTGAATCCTCCATCTCAATCGGCAGTCTATTATTAACCATGACATAAATGTAATCCTTATAAATGTCACTATTGGAGAAGTTGAAAAAAAAATCCATGACTAATTTAAACAGTACGTACATTTTTGTATTCCTGCCTGAAGAGATGCTGGTAAAGCCCATACGTACCATGATTTTATTGCACATTATTCTCACATGTACGACTCTTAGTTTATATTAAAATTATTTGGCTGTTTTGTAATAATTTCAACTGGCGGCATGCGGCAGCAATGATTGTGTGCATGAGTGGGATAAATAGGGAAGGAATGAACTCTGTAATCACTGCTTACTTTGACTTGTGTGTGAAACTGACTAGATAGAGCATGTGCTTTGCCCTGAATCAACTCTATATTCACACTTTAATAAGGATTTGCTCACCCCCAAACATGTATCCCTGTGTATCTCCACTCTGTAGAAAGTTTTTTCTTCTAAAGTGATCTTAACACTAATTTTTCTCCAGTATTTTATTGTAACATTTTTTTTAATAGAAAAATTAAAAAAAAAACTTTTTTCTTTCTTTTGCTCTATTTTTTTTTTTTTATAACTTTGACTTTAACATTTAAGGATAGCTAGTTCCTCACTGTTTTGAAAAAAATAATGCTTACTATTTTAATAAAATTAAAGCTCAAGGCTTATTTTTTTTTTTTCTAAAGTTATTTTAACACTAATTTTTCTCCATTATTTTATTGTAACATTTTTTTTAATAGAAAAATTAAAAAAAAAACTTTTTTCTTTCTTTTGCTCTATTTTTTTTTTTTTATAACTTTGACTTTAACATTTAAGGATAGCTAGTTCCTCACTGTTTAGAAAAAAATAATGCTTACTATTTTAATAAAATTAAAGCTCAAGGCTTATTGTTATTTTAATTTTATTTGCAGCTTCAAAACATTTTTCAAAAAATCATTCCAAATTTGCTCAATTAATTTAAATTATCAATAAAAACAAAATCAATTATTAGAGTTAAAAAAATTGAGTCTTTCTAAGGCTAATTTGATAAATGCCCCCGTATGCCTCCCCAGCCCTCCCTTCCTGTTTCAACTCTCCCTGATCCACACAGGATAGACCTTCCTGTAAGTATGATGGAGAGCTGTCTGGCTTGAACAGCTTGAATGAGTAGACAGTCAGTTATGGATGTCTGGAAGAGTTGGGCTAAATCTAAGAGTTGTCTGCCTTGAACAGTTTGAATGAATGGAAAGTTGTCTGCCTTGAACAGTTTGAATGAATGAAGAGTTGTCTAAATGAAATGGTTTTAATTAAGATGGCATAAAGCAGTGGTTCTCAAGTTGTGGGTCCCGATCCCTTTGGGGGTTGAACAACCCTTACACAATGGTCGCCTAAGACCATCAGAAAACACATATTTATAAAGTAGCAAGGAAAATAATTTTATGGTTGGGGGTCACCACAACATGAGGAACTGTAATTAAAGGGTCATGGCATTAGGAAGGTTGAGAACCACTGACATAAAGTGTCTCATGAGAGGCAAAGTTTTTCTCAAATACAAAAGGATCTAAGCAGTGTTAGATATTTAGATAGAATTTGTGTTGTCATCTAAGCCAGGGGTCTCCAAACTACAGCCCGCGGGCCAGATGCATCCTGTGAGGCTCACTCATCCGGCCCGTGGAGACCTTTGTCCAATGATAATCTCAGGTCACTGTTGATGTTAGGTACATGTCTGCTATTTTGGAATCCATGAAACAATTTCACCATCACACTAATACGGGTGTTCATGTGTAGTGTATCCATATGCTATTAAATAATAACAGAATAAAATAATATTCAATAACTCAGTCGGCCCCCGAACTGTTGTTTGATAGGTAATGAAACCCTCGGACTGAAAAGTTTGGAGACCCCTAATCTAAGCCAATGAATTAGATGGATGTCTAGTGCTTCTAGAAATGTTAAGATTAGAAAATGTGCTTTGTTTATTTGCATCAGGGGTTCTTAAAGAACTTTAAAATTTAATTTTTGATTAATCATTGGATATATTCAATCATATAATTAAATAAATTTTATAAAATTATTTTAAGAATCTAATTTTTGTTAGAATATTGATTAATAAACATGAGAACCCCTGAACTAGATTTAACTGTGCAGTAGATACGCATACAACCCAGGTCAACCTAGAGGACTGACACAATATCTCCAGACCTCTTGTTGTTGATGGTCAGCACTGGGTCTACAACTGAATGATGTTAGTCATACAGTGATTTCACAGAGTCCATCTCCTGATACCACACTTCAGCTTGTACTCAAGGACACTTTTCACTATGTTTTCAATGTCTCATTATATATAAAATTTATTGTAACTATTGTGATGCAATTATATGCTCAAACCATATGAAAAATTGTCACATTATGTACACAGACAGTTTGATTAGTTGTGATGCCATGTATACCGACCATTTTAATAGTTGTGATGCCATGTATACTGACCATTTGAATAGTTGTGATGCCATGTACACCAGCTATTTGAATAGTTGTGATGCCATGTACACCAGCTGTTTGAATAGTTGTGATGCCATGTACACCAGCTGTTTGAATAGTTGTGATGCCATGTACACCAGCTGTTTGAATAGTAGCAATGACATGTACACCGACTGGTAAAACAGTTGTGATGCCATGTACACAAATGTGACTCATTGTGATGCTATGTACACAGACCACATAAGATTTTTCAACTCGTTCTATTCCCAAACATTATCCAGTTTTGTATCCACGTCCTTAAAAGATATCTTATTCTGCCTTCATATCTGAACACATTTGTAAACCTTCTGAACACAATTATTGTAAACCTTGTTCCACAAAACATGCGGAAAAAAATGATATATTTCTTCATTAATCTTGAAATTGTTTTTTAAAAAATGAACATAGTTGCGACCTGATAGTGTAGCTATAATGTTTTAGAGATTATATTTATAAATGTGCCGGCTTCTTGCAGGCATTTGAACCCAAGGCTGACCCCCTGGGGGTCACACTGATAGGCGACCTGGCCGACTGTGATATGGAGAAAATCAGATCTTTGGCTCACATAGAGCTTACAGCTCTCTTTGATGAGTACGGTATTGTACACAAGCAGCCCAAACGCAAGAGAAAACTCAAAGGTTGGTCAAACGTCTCGTCGTCACTTTGACAGTTATCCATGTTTCTGTAACGAGGCTGTTGTAGATATTTCAGTTTCACTCCCAGCAGTGGAGTGTTTAGGGTGTGTCCAGACACAAAGCCGTCTCTCAGCTGTTCAGAAATATTCAAGGAAAATTAATACACAATTGCTTGAATATATCCCAGCCCGAGGAATCGAAATATTGAAAAATTAAAGATTAGGGGAGGAAATCCACTTTAAAAAACAGACTTACTTCTTGTAAGCTGTGACATACCTTAGCTTCTTATACTGTAATGAGCAAGTCATATACAATACATTGGTGAACTAATTGATGGAGATGATCTGTTCAACATTATGCAGGGTGGGCAATCCTTACAAAAACAGATGGAATCAAATCCCCCTTTTTTTCATGTCAATATTAAGTGCCATATTTTCATGTGTTGTATTTCAGAGCAAGGTATATTTGGTGTCCCTCTAAATCTTCTGGTTGAACAAGACCAGAAACGGACACCTGGAGTCAAAGTCCCAATAGTTTACCAAGCGGTCAGTTGCTAGATTTAACTAGATAAAAAATAGTAAAAATATTTTCATAATTGATTTGACAACATTGAAAAAGATACTCTGTGATAAATTGAAAATAAAATACAGAAACACCTGGTTACTTTTACACCAGTACTTTTTTTTTTACTACGGATTAACTGGGTTCAGTTTTTTTAAAGCGGGTCCAGGTATCTTAAGAATATATCCGGTGGGTCCAGGTGTTACAAAAAAAGAGTTAACTTCTCATTTTCTATAATATATGCTGTACAAAAGACCCACAGACAGTCCTACATCCTACCTGCCAGTCTTTATACAATAGGCCTACAGACAGACTTACACCCTGCCTTTTGGGCTTTAAACAGTAGTCCTACAGACAGTCTTACATCATAACCATGGCTCTTTATTTTGATTAATGTAATAGTTGTCTCCCCCTAAAGAAAAAAATTGAACTGGCAGCCCAGGAAGTAACGAAATATTCTTTATTATTTTCTTAATAGCTTCCCCCCCCCCCCTGTTCTATCATCTTTTGGCCTGCACAAGTTTTTTATAAAGTATTACAGCCCGCCTTACATTTTGAGTTGTGCAGGCCTGGTTTACCTGAGTCCATCCGTCTTACATGACGCCCTGCTGCGTGACAGCCTTTTTTTTTCCCCTCAGTATTATTGATATAAAACATGTGGAGTTGGCGGAAGTGCAGTTTTGAAGAGGAACCAGGACACACCAGAAGCAACAATAATTATTTTATATTTTTACCTAATGGTTTCTAAGATTTTTTATTTTTTAGTTGAATTATGTTGCTATAGAAATATTTCTTCTTGATGGTAACATTTAAAAGATTATTTTAAAGTAATGTCAAAACCAATAGATGAAATATTGGTTACCTGTACCAATGATAATATTGCATACCTGTACCAATGATAATATTGGTTACCTGTAACAATTCTAATATTTGTTTCCTATAATAATATTACTTACCTGTACAAATGATAATATTGGTTCCCTGACCAATGATATTGATTACCTGTACCAACAGATGGTCAATTACCTGGAGAAGGAAGGCTTGTATTCGGAAGGTATTTTAAGGGTGTCGGGTACAGAGACCAGGGCAAAGGTAGGAAGAGATTTTTTTCTAAACTGTCCCCCGATATTTGTATTATAATTATAGTTGTATAAAAATTGATATTTATATAACACTTGTGTCAAAGTAACGCAAATATTGCTATCAAACTTTTAAATATTTTATTGAAATCAAATTAGTTGACAGATGCAAGCTTGGCTATATTAGACGTGATAAAATTTCATATTGAAGCTTCATGTCAATAGGCCTGCTTAGATATTACGCCAACTGTTAATTTTAAACTCAAATGGTTGCTTCGAGGCAAGTTTACCTGGCCATTTACATTTCTTCATGAAAAGTTTTTAAATTGTATGACTTGTATAATCTTAAGTTGATACTGATACATTACCCTCCTTCCCATGAACAGCAACTCCGGCAGGACTTGGAGGAAAAATTCTACCAAGGGCTTTTTTCTTGGGGTGACGCTGGCGTCAATGATGTGGCTGTTGTGTTTAAACAATTTTTGCGTGAACTTCCGATCCCTCTCTTGTCTTATGAATACCACGATGCATTTCCACAGATAAGCAGTAAGTTTTGTTGCTGTGACATCTCTTTGACTAATTTATTCTGTCATAACTTGCAGACTTGTCAGTTGTGAAGGTATTTACAAGTTGAATTGTTGCAAAGAATTGATAAGTAGACCTTAGGCCATTCACTGGACATTAGTTTGACTCAACATATGGATCAAAACCTTCAAATAAAAGATGTTTAACTAGATTTCTGAAAATTTTGAATCACACATCTGAATTCCTTGGACTTGTCATCTAAAGATGTTTCATCAGACAGTTGAAGACGTTCAGTTTATGTGTAAACTATACCAGCTGTTACGAACCCGGTTCTCCCGAAGGTTCGATGGCTTTGCACTGTCTTGGGGTTTAATTTATTCAGTTCACAAACTATATATTCTTACAATAAAATACCTCTATTACACAACTAAGCTACATCTTGAAATGCCATTACACACAAGACAAAAAACACTGCACAATTATAATAAAATAACAAAATATCAAACATTTAATAACAACATCTACCCAAATACTGTCCAAACAACACGCAATCACAGTATACATTCAAGTCCTTAACACTAGCAAGCCTCTAAAATGCCTCTGCAAACCTTCATATTACAACCATATAAAAGTGTGACAGTTGCCCTAACATCTCTTCCCTCAGATATTCCTAAAGTCTTGGAGCAGCTGAAAGCTTTGAATTTGTTGATAATTTTGTTGACTGATGAACACAGAAATACACTCAAGGTTTGTCTTCTGTCACTTTCATGTTTCCTCTCTGTCGTTAAATGTGAACACACCCCCCCCCCACCCCCCACCCTGGCCAAACCTCCAATGTATGCTTCATTCCCACTGTTTTTGAATCATTATTTTCTATCAGTTAAGATGAAAAGTGGGGAATTCGTTTCTACACATCCTATACTGTTGTTAAAACCAGCTCTGTTTAAATAGAAATAATGCCATCAAACTGTTTGGCTTTTGAAATGTCACTCAAAATATTTTGACATAATTGGTTAATCAAATGTCCTCCTAATTTTGTTAGCTTGAAAGCCCCATCAAGACGAACTTGTGTAACATGTTTAAGCTCTGTAACATTATGTGTAAAAGAGGTAAAAGATTTATAAATAAAAGCATGTAGTGAGACACATTGCCGTCATGAAGATCTGCAACTGAAAGCATATCAAACATAGATTACACAGACTCATCAAGAAAGCTAGGAACACAACACAAACTAAACATCCTTCACTTGTAGAACTAGTTGAAGAAAAATGTTATTGTAAAACTAAACAAATTTTGGCTGACGCATTCCACCCTCTTCATCACATATACTTTTAAGATGGGCCCGTTCGGGATGAATTCTTTCTCTTAAGGCGAGGACTGAAGGATATAAAAAAATTGTTGTTCCCCAATCTGTATAAATTGACCAGCGTGCTCCCCCAGAGGTCACAAAATCTAAATGATCACAAGTCCCTTATTAAGACTAAGGGAGTCCAATGAATGGCTGTTTCTTTATGCTAGAGGAATAATTGAATTCAGATGTCTTGTGTTTAAATTTTTTTCGTTGGAAAATGTTGACTTTAATAAATTATATAATTATTTATGCACTGAAAATGTATATGTACAATGCAATCAATCCATTTATTTTGGATCAATAAAAGAATCTTATCTTATCTTATCTTATAATAACATTGAAAGAGAAGCATTGGTGAAGTAAAAAAAAAAATGTAACAAATCAGTTTTTATTCGTGAAACAGGTTCTTCTACGATTCCTACGTAACATTGTTGCCCACAGCAATCGTAATAAAATGGGCCTCAACAACGTGGCCATGATCATGGCCCCAAACCTGTTCCTTGCTCCGTCCAGGAACAACAAGGAGAAGCCCGACCTGGAGGTGGAGTTGAAGAAGGCAGCAGGAACGTCAAACATAGTCAAAATGTTGGTGCATTATCAGGATGTACTCTGGACTGTAAGTCAGTGGGGATCTATCATTGCATGGGGGATACCAAAATATTTTTGTTTAGTAGATATAATTTACAAAATTGGCTCCTCATTTAGAAAAAGTTTGCCAAGCCCTTGGGATAGGCTGTCAGAGGCATTGGGTAAACTGTCAACAGCATAGGGTGGAATGTCACTGGGATTGTTTGGACTGGCATGGGGGACTGTCTTTGGCATTCCCTAGGGGCTTTGAGCTAACTATGTCCATTATTTTAGCTGAATCGCTTCTTTTGTCTCCCTTCCTCAACTGATAAATCTTTGGCATTCCCTAGGGGCTTTGAGCTAACTATGTCCATTATTTTAGCTGAATCTGCTTCTTTTGTCTCCCTTCCTCAACTGATCAATGGGTATTTCAAGCTTTTATTTACATTACAAAGAAAAATTCTAAGAAACATCAATGAAAAAGATATATTTCCCAAGTGTTTCTTACATGGTCCTTTACCATACAGTTTAGTGCGCATAACTCAATTTTATTATAAAAACTCATTAACCTTACAACTATACTGAAAGTATTTCATTGACATAACTTTTAATATATGTAACTGTGTAGAGTTGATAAAAAAATAGAAGTCACATTTTTGCTTGCTGGTCATTGTATTTCAGATACCATCTGCATTTATTTAATGACTAATGACCTTTTATTTCAGATACCATCTGCATTTATTGCACAAATCAGACATCTCTACACAACAGAAGCTCACAGGAAATCCAGAGATGGCTTGGTAAGTCATTGCTGATAAAGTTTAGCCAAAAAAAAGTGGCTTGGTAAGTCATTGCTGATTAAATTTTAGGCACAAAGAAGTGGCTTGGTAAGTCATTGCTGATTAAATTTTAGGCACAAAGAAGTGGCTTGGTAAGTCATTGCTGATTAAATTTTAGGCACAAAGAAGTGGCTTGGTAAGTCATTGCTGATTAAATTTTAGGCACAAAGAAGTGGCTTGGTAAGTCATTGCTGATTAAATGTTAGGCACAAAGAAGTGGCTTGGTAAGTCATTGCTGATTAAGTGTTAGGCACAAAGAAGTGGCTTGGTAACCTTGACTTGCTAGAGATCAACCCTACAGATACAACGTGGTCAGTCTATCAGCCATAAATAAAGAAACGGAATGACAAATTCTTTATCCTCTGATCCCACACTACATATCCATAAGACAATATTTGATTTTTTACAGCACCTTGTCAGGAAGCATCAGCCGATCATCCATTCACATGCAGTCATTTCCTGTCTAGCCCATAAACTTTGCAGTTTAATTTCATATAACTTTCTTTGTCTTGGGATTAGATATCACCCATGCAGTTGCAGAGGATTAATGGGTTCATCGACATTGGCTTTCTAGGGTGTCTAGTTGATAGCTGACTATTTGATAATAATAGAGTATAATTTGTGATATTTTTTATTAAAGTTAACACTATCATTGGTATCTTCCTTTAGTTATCCAAGCTATCAAGAAAGAAAGACAAGTCGGAGCTGTATAAGAAACCTCCGCTGAGTCCTGACCAGGTACAGAGTAACTTAACCAGCAACGGTTGTTCCAAGTGAATGACTAACTTTATCTTTTATCTCTGCTTCTGCCGCAGAGTCGTCACAGATTTACTTTATCATGGACCTTTAACTGATTAACTACCAGATTGAAAAACCCGCTGTGGCCGAATTAAATCTAGGTCATATTTTTTCAATTCAGGTGTATGTACAAATTCAGCTGCAGTTTTCTTGATTATAAACATATTCCAATGAGTATTAAACCATTGTGTAGGCAATTGGATTGTCTATAAGATAAACTTAAAACATTTGTAAAGTTAAGTTTTGTTAGGAAATTATTAATCCTTAAATTAGTATTTACAACAGAAAACAATTTTTTTTAAAATATATAAATCTGCCAACTTAGGTATAAATTTTAAATTTCCAAATCATTTAAAGTGTTTTATTTGGTGGTTCCAAATATTATATCCAATAAGAAGAAAAATGCACCAAAGAACACAGAAACTGCATAATATTTACACTTCCAAATACTTATGTTTTTAGCAACCATGTCACTTGTGCCACGGTAAACAAGTAGTACAACTTTGTAACTAGCTTAGAAAATAAATCAAAATTAATGAACAGCTCTACTATGGTCGTTTTTTAAAACCTTTTGGCCAATAGCAAGCAGTTCGGAAAAAACATCCTGTCTGTAAATTAAAATCTCCTAGCACAACGGGAATGGTTCATTATAAATATTGGACTCAATTTACTATGATAAAAACATTGGCGCTACTAGCGGCTTGTGGCCATAATGAAAGAAACGCCGGGCCGCTCCCAGTGTAATTAACCAGTTAAATTGTATAGTTTGGATATTGATAGGTCTGCTCATCTTTGATTAGGAAGATAGTAAATGATCCATGACATCCATAGCCTGGCATCTAAAAGTAGTTAAAGATTAGTACACAACCAATCAAACTTAAGCATTCCTAATTGTATTTCAAGGGAAAAAATAATATGGTTATTTAAAAGGCCATGCTAAATTGATGGTTCCATTCCACAAATGGTTAACTTTATGAACCAACTCATCTTTAGCCCTGTAACTTTTATAATTTTCTGTGGTGTCACAAAAAATGCAAATAATTTAATGTATATTTGTTAAGGAGAAATTACTCTATATATATTAGTTTGCTTCCTATTTCCTTTACTATCTGTGCATTAACATGCTGTTATCAGGGATTTTTGTGTGTGATTAAATGGGTGTGAAGTTTACCACCATAATATCTGTTGCCAGAAAGAATCCCCTTCTAAAATCAACACAGACTTTCTTTATTGAAATTATTTAAAATGGATTAAAATGAAATCAATGATTTCAGAGATATTCCACGTGCTAGTTATGACAGTATTGACTCTAGCTGTGAAGGCGACATAAGAGTCTGATGCTGACAATTTAACCCTATGCTTAGTCTTATTACAAACAAATTTGTTTGGGAAAGGGTGGAAATCAAACAGAAAATGACAAAGATTTGATCCCAAAGACCCACCCTAAAGACATTTATTTTTGGGTATGTTCTAGATGTATTAATATTTAATTAATAAAAAATGAATGTAATAAATTTAGGTGAAAAGGAATTTTTGAATCTATTTAGTGCCCCTTGTATTTTTTATGACAGAAATTTGAAGGTAGTGAATGAAAAAATTCATCAATATCACAATTTTCAATATAAGTAACTATAACTTGACATTTTCTGAAAGAATATTGCTTTTAGTATTGCAGAAACTTGATTTTATGATAGTTTAAACAATTTATGGAGGATTTAAGGTGGGTTTCATTAATAAGTTCAGTACTAAATTTTCACTCACACTGTAAAGGTCAAGGTCATTAACAAGATACATAATATCAAAACAAATTGTTTTCGTACCATAAGATATCTTGTCCAATGTACTTTCAGAAACTGCATACTTTGTCATTTTTTGACCAGCATATATACTTTGTCATTTTTTGACAAGCATATGAAAATGCCAAAAATGGCTTGATGCTACAGAAATATGTTCTTGACAGTTATAAGGTTAATAACAGAGTGACATTGCTTTCATCAAGCAGAGATATTTTTAGTTACTATAGCTGATAAATGTTAAAATCCGATATCCCAGTAGCAGACAATCTGAATGTTTCTGTTGCATCATTCACAGCCTGAGACTCAAGATGGTGTGATCAGGGTTGTTGCCCCTCATTTAACCAAAAGTTCAGCACTCATCCAACTGGACCAGTTTACAACAGCGGCAGACGTCGTTGCCAAATTTAAATGTGGAGATGGCATTTTGTCTAGAGAAAACAGGTGATTAGTTTCTTTTGGTTGTTAATTTTTCTTCATTATAATTTTTTTTTAAGCTAAATATTAGGGCTTTTAAATTGTTTTTTAAAGTGGTGATTTCATTCATAGTTCTGGCTGTACAACTCTGTTCATCCACCATTGGTTGTGCACAACTGTCCACCCTTCATTTGTTGTGAACCGCTGTCCACCCTTCATTGGTTGCTTACCACTGTCCACCCACCATTGGTTGTGCACAACTGTCCACCCTTCATTTGTTATGCACCCCTTCCACCCTTCATTTGTTGTGCACGGCTGTCCATCCTTCATTGGTTGCACACCACTGTCCACCCACCATTGGTTGTGCACAACTGTCCACGCTTCATTTGCTGTGCACCGCTGTCCACCCTTCATTGGTTGCACACAGCTGTCCACCCACCATTGGTTGTGCACAACTGTTCACCCTTCACTGGTTGCGCTCCACTCTCCACCCACTATTGGTTGTGCACAACTGTCCACCCTTCATTTGTTGTGCACCACTTTCCACCCACCGTTTGTTGCGCACCACTGTCAACCTACCATTAGTTGTGCACCACTGTCCACCTACCATTGGTTGTGCATATGTCCACCCACCATTGGTTGTGCCCAACTGTCCACCCTTCACTGGTTGCGCTCCACTCTCGACCCACTATTGGTTGTGCACAACTGTCCACCCTTCATTTGTTGTGCACCATTTTCCACCCACCATTTGTTGCGCTCCACTGTGCATCCACCATTAGTTGTGCACCACTGTCCACCCACCATTGGTTGTGGATATGTCCACCCACCATTGGTTGTGCACCACTTTCCACCCACCATTTGTTGCGCACCACTGTCCACCCACCATTGGTTGTGCACATGTCCACCTATCATTGATTGTACACTGCTATCCACCCACCATAGGCATATATCAATATTCAAAGGTATCAATAAAATAGTATCAAGTCTATCATAAATCATAGAGTTATTGTCTAATGAAATAGAAATGGAAACCTGCAATTATCAGATATTGGCTGTTAGATCATTATTTAATAGATTTTGACTGGTAGACTGCAGATCATTAATTAATAGCAGATCTTGACTTGTAGACTGCAGATCATTCATTAATAGATCTTGACTGGTAGAATGTAGATCATTAATTAATAGATCTTGGCTGGCAGACTGCATATCATTAATTAATAGATCTTGACTGCTAGACTGCAGATCATTCATTAATAGATTTTGACTGATAGACTGTAGATCATTAATTAATAGCTCTTGACTGGCAGACTGCATATCATTAATCAATAGATCTTGACTGCTAGACTGCAGATCATTAATTAATAGATCTTGAATGGTAGACTGCAGATCATTAATTAATAGATCTTGACTGGTAGACTGCAGATCATTAATTAATAGCAGATCTTGACTTGTAGACTGCAGATCATTCATTAATAGATCTTGACTGGTAGAATGTAGATCATTAATTAATAGATCCAAAAAAGCCCTGTAATTTCAAAAAAAACCTTTCTTCTTTCTTATACACAGCACTATTGGCGTCCCAGAGGAAACACATGGCCACACGTATAGAAATCCGAACAATGCTCAGTACGCTCTCGACCACGACTACTTGTTTGAGGTTGGAGGCAATATAGGTAAGCATATGTTGAGGTTGCTGCTATGAGGTCAGCATATGTTGAGGTTGCTGCTATTAGGTCAGCATATGTTGAGGTTGCTGCTATTAGGTCAGCATATGTTGAGGTTGCTGCTATTAGGTCAGCATATGTTGAGGTTGCTGCTGTTAGGCCAGCATATGTTGAGGTTGGCGTTATAAGGTCAGCATATGTGAGGTTGGTGCTAATAAGGTTAGCATTTGAAATGGGAAGAATTTAGATAAACATTTATTGAAGTTGGTGGTAATTTAGTAGGCTTATTTTGAGGTAGGTGGTAATAGGTAATCTAGATAAACATATTCAAGTCTGCGGTAATGTACAATGTAGGTCAACCTGTTCTATGCAAATGAGGTTAACATATTTTGAGGCTGGTTTAATATGTAATGTAAGTAAACATATTTTGAGATTGGTGGTAATGGGTAATGTTGGTAAACATAATTTTGTGGTAAGGTGGGTAGGCATAACAAATGAACAAAATATTAAACACACTTAACGTACACCTTGGGGCATAATAGTAATATCTCAACCTGGAAGGGCCGGGGGGACCACACAATTTACTTGGCTTTGATCGTTATTCATGTTTTTAATATTTCATTAACAATCATCCGAGTCACTGATTTAACGGCTGAGCTTTAGGTCTTAAAAGTTTAGGGTTCATTAAAAAATGGTAATCCCTGTAAAGGTCCATTTGATCCCCATGATCCGTCTGTTGCTGTTTCAGCTGAGAGGTGCTTGGACCCCAGGACCAGAATGATTGACCTGTATCACGTCAACCCTCTGGCTGAATGGGTCATCAGATCAAGGAAGGACAGATGAGCAACACTCTGCCTTACATGATGTCCGTCTTGTCTCAACATTTATCTGAACTTACCGACAATAAAAAAAACAAATTTTTTAATAACAATGTCTCTAATGGACCAATGAAGAGATCTTCAGCTCCAAAACCCTTTCATATGATCGGGAATGCAATAGTTTCATTGAGTTTGACCGCACATTCAGTCATCACAGAGTTAACACCCCTGTACTTGTCACATGAAAGCCGATTATCTCTGGTCCCACATTGCTGTGCTACAGGCTTCCCTTGACCAGAGAATTATGTCCAAATTAGATTTGTCAAAATGACAGCATTAGTTTCCTTAGCCATTATAACAAAGATGAGTGTTTCAAGTCTTGTTTGGAGCAGAAATGACTGAATGACTAAATGACTGAATGACTGAATGACTAAATGACTAAATGACTGAATGACTAAATAACTGAATGACTAAATGACTGAATGACTAAATGACTGAATGATTAAACGACTGAATGACTAAATGACTAAGGATGATATGTAAAGATGTTTTGTCAAAGCTCACATCTTTAAATTAACCTGTTGTTTTTTGGTAGGTATGACATAAATATTTGCTTTCATAATTGCCTATCATAATTTCACAGGTTCTGTCGACATGTGGCGATGGGAAGGCTGACTGGTCACTTTCCAATCATCAATCTCATGAATTATAGAACGGTTGAAAGTTTGCCATGATGGCATGTTATGTCATGTACTGTTCTATTGACATCAATCTCATGACATTGTAGAACTGTTAAAACATTGCCATGATGGCGTGTTATGTCTATTTTTATTGATAACCAATGACAATCCAAGGTTTGTACCAATATTTTGTTCTCCTTTTTCTTAATGGTATACAGGGTGCTTGTAAAATGTGCCATTATAAGTTACTGGTACCAGGTGCTGGTAATAGGTGCCAGTACAGGATGCTTGTAATAGGTGCCAGTACAGGATGCTTGTAATAGGTGCCAGTACAGGATGCTTGTAATAGGTGCCAGTACAGGATGCTTGTAATAGGTGCCAGTACAGGATGCTTGTAATAGGTGCCAGTACAGGATGCTGGTACAAGGTGTCAGTAAATGTTGCTGGTACAGGTTCTGCTACAGGGTGTTTTGTGATTGTTGTTTGGCATCTCACCGATCGATCTACTGCAATACTTTATTTTGTTAATAATTTATCCCTTGATCAGTTCTTCTTATGATTTGTGATAACATTGTTGTGAATGTTTGGGTTGTTATTGATTGATTAATGATAACATTGTTGTGAATGTTTGGGTTGTTATTGATTGATTAATGATAACATTGTTGTGAATGTCTGGTTTTGTTATGTTATAACTTGTTTGAAGCGTGTCCAATCTACCAGTGAACTTCGTTTTCTGAGGTTGCTTTTCATTTGTTTATAATGTAAGTTTGTTGCTGCAAAAAGACACTTGTTTTGGTGTCAAGGTTTTCCATGTAAGGTATATATTTCTGATTTGATCATTGATAGGCCATTATTTATTGTATGAAATGGTATTTAAAAAAACAACAATGTCTATATGGGTTTTCCAATTAGGAATTTTTAATACAAGGAAGCAATGTCAAGGTTGTGAGTATAGAAGTTCTTTAAGGCAACATATCAAAGATACCGGTACCAATATATAGTATCTAGCAAATATGGTGGTTTCATTTTCATTAGCATCTGTTATAATGGCAATATAAACTCAGCATTTACAAGCAAACTCAAGATGAATGTGAACAATGGAATAACTAGACATGTGGCCATTGACTGTTTCAACCAGGGCCCAGCTAGACATACCCCCTTGGACTACTATGCCCAGTGCCCAGCTAGACATGTGGCTTTGGTCTACTATCCCCATTTCACTTTCTATACTTTGGCTTTTGAGCATTCTGACCAGCACATAGCAAGACAAAAGCCCATGATAACTAAAAATAAGACCATGATAATTCACCACTGACATTCACTGACTATAAAATTGTAGGACTTGTACACGTTTCATTAACACATTGGGTTATAAGTTCATTAAAAACACACGTCTATTTGGGGCATCATAAGAGGCGACAGTTGCTTAATAAGGCATCATAAGAAGCCGACTGATTATCTAGGTCATCATAAAATCTTACACTGTTGAACTAGGACATCATACAATTTTAAACTGTTGAACTAGGCCATTATAAAATATCACACTGTTTAACTAGATCATCATAAAATTTAAAATTGTTTAACCAGGTCATCATAAAATCTTACACTGTTGAACTAGGCCATCATAAATTGTTTCATTTGTTAATTTTGTCATCATAAACAACCAGACTGGTTCAAAAGACATCTTAATTGGTTAATTGGGTTATCATAAAATATCACTTTGTTTAAGTAGGTCATCATTAAGTACCACATAATTTGTATTTAGTCATAATTAAATGCAACACTTATTTCATTAAGACATCACAAAATAACAAACTGTTCAACTGTAACTTTATAAAATACCACACTGTTTAACTTTGCTATTATAAAATATCACATTTGTTAACATTTGGTCATCATAATGCCATGGACTATTTTTGTCCTACTCCTGTTTTTAAAGTAAACACTTATTGGGAGAATATTCCATTCTCCTTTTCTAGCTTTAAATAGGCATGACTTTGTATTATTGACATTTCTATGAATTTATTTCATGACAGCCTCCTTTACATTTAGAGTTTTCTGTTGACTCCATGTTTTTGTTTTTCTTTCATACAAAACTAACATGATAATGTCATTTATTGTAATTTATTTTTATTTAAATAAGATCGTAAACTTAACTGAGGGTTGATTTATTATTTTCTCAAATGAATAAAACAATGGCTGCCATATTTTTCTCATAAATGGTCTTATTTTTATTATTTTTTTGGTCAATTTGTTTGAGTGATGAGTCAGACTGGATAAAACTATTAAAAAACTTGAATAATATTTTAGATAACTATTAATTATGAAAGCTATTGAAGGCAAGTATCTGGCCATATGGGGCAACATCTCATTGGGAAATCTGGAAATGGCTTCGGTGGGCCGTCGAGCGCGAGTTCATAATCCCCCCCCCCCCACACACATACACAGGCAAGACACCGGGTCTCTCCACCGCCAGACCGTGCGGTGGTACGCCGGGAATCCCCCCTTCCCCCCCCCCC